GTGCAAATTTTCATACGGATGGCCAGATATCAATGAAATACATCGAATTGTACCTATGCAGTGTGGTATCAAAGTTGAATGCAACATTGGATATCTTCGTGACAGACACATTTTGATTCGATTTTCATTATGGCAAGATTATGTAGAGTTCTCGTCAAAAGGTGTGTACTATGTTAAGGATAAGCATGGGGATGAATATCAACTGAGAACATTGATCTATGATGCAAAATTTAAAGTTGGAGAGGAGACACCTAAGGTAATGGCTTGGATTTCATTCCCTAATTTGCTGCCTACCTATTTTGTCAGAGAATGCTTGTTCTCTCTAGCTTCTACTGTAGGTAAACCCCTTCACTTGGATTTGGCTACTATCAAGGAAACTAGACCTAGTTGTGCTCGTGTTAAAGTGTTAGTGGATCTTCTAACTAACCTCCCAAAGAAAGTTTGAATGGACATTGTCAGTGACGTAAATGGGGATGTAAGAACTGAATGGGTAACCATTAACTATGATTATTTGCCAAAGTACTGTAAAGAGTGCAAGTTACAAGGCCATGACATGCTTGAATGTTGGAGAATTAATCCTGATTTAAGGGAAAGCAAAAATGTCCAGCAGAAGGAAAATGTCGAAAATGTGAAACAAGGCAATAATAAACATGCAAAACATGATGCTCCCTTAATGATCCTTACGAGTGGTAAGGTAGTTGGTAATGCAGGCCCTCAATGGAAGGAAGTTCGCGACAATAGGGGACTAAACAAAGGCAAACAATCTGAAGGTACTACTGCAGAAGGGAAAGAAATAGTTCTTGTTAACAATACAGCTGTGACAAAACAAATACAAACAACCAACCAATTTGCAGTGCTAGAAATTGAAAATGCTGAGATTAATGAAGGTAACCAATTGGCAGTTGTGGAGGAAACTCCAATTCAAAAAACCACAGGCAACAATGATATTCAGCAAAATAACTCCACAACAGGTGTAGAGAATGAGTCAGAGGAGTAGGAATTTGATTTTTCAACGAGAGAAATAGTACAAAAGGTAACTTCTCCTAGCTCATCTAGGAGAATATCATCCAAGACACAACCCAAGAAACTGAACCCTGCAGCACCTACTTTCAATCCTACGGCAATAAAAAATCATGCAACAAATAGGGAATCAACAGCTCATTGTGTACAAAACGATTTGGGGAATGAGCAGCATTTTCACAATGAGTCAACTGCCCATTGGGTCCAAAATGCATTCAAAAATAATGTAGTTCAAGTCAATACTTCATGTCAAGACATTCCTTCATAGGACACCAATATTGAACAACAATTAGCAAACAACAAATAAAATGAATTTGTTGAAGATACAGATTTTGAGAAATTCAGGACAAATGAAAAAGAAAAATGGGCAGGAGGAAGATTATGGCTCAACCAAACAGAGGAAGACTTAGCAAATGGTCACATTCCAGATACAATGCGTAGTGATGAAGAATTTGGAGGAAATGAAGTAGAAGATGAGGATCAAATTGTTAATTGTAATGCTAATGTAATCAATATTCAAAGCATCAGCGAATACACAAATGCAGCAACAGAAAAGACAAAAGAGGGGAACATTAATATTATAGATCCAGGAGGGACTTCACATAATGTTGTTAGTAATGCCTTGAAAGAAGCTGAAAATGTAGACAAGAAACAAGATGAGAATGCAGACAAGAACGGAGCTATGACAGTGCAGGTTTATGCAAAAAGTATTGTTCCATTGAGCACTATGCAGGATGTAGCAGGAAGTAATGTTCCATTGAACAATACAATGTTGTTGACCAATGAACATGCTGAAAAAGATGCAGAACTTATCAACCAGGCATAGGATATTGTTACATCAAAAGAAATAGTAGAAGCACATGATCAAGTTAACCACGCAGAACTTAAAGGTAGAGACATGGATGAGGAATCCACTGCACAAAATTTCCTTAATGTTGCCAAGCAGGGAGATCTGTCGCTAAGGCTTATTGAACTAGTAAAATCTGCAATAAAGGGAAAAAAGAAACAGTCAAAAGAGACTTCTACTGTCCCAGTTAGTGGAGTACAAACAAGGAGAACACTGTCCAAATCCCAAAACATTTAATGGATGCCATTATATGGAATGTCATGTCAGTAAACACAATGCAAGCATTTGAAAGGCTGATTACAATGCACAGAAAACATCATTTTGAGTTCATAGGAATCCTTGAGCCTATGCAATAGTTTCACAAAATGGAGAGGTATAGAGCAAGAATTGGTTTGGCACAAGCTGTGGTGAATGTGTCAAACAAGATTTGGGCTTTTATTGATGAAATTTTTGAGGTTACTATTTTATATAACATGACTCAATAGCTGACTTTGAGATTGATGCACTCTGAAACACATGTTGAGCTCATCCTTACACTAGTCTATGCCAAATATGATAGCATTGAAAGAATAGAACTATGAGATACGTTGTATACAATGGCATCAGATATGACAGTACCTTGGCTAGTTGGAGGCGACTTTAATGTGATATGGGATGAGGAAGAGAAATATGGGGGCTTTCTAGTTTCTCTCATTGAAGTAGATGACTTCAGACACTGCATCAATACCTGCAACTTGACAGACTTGTGTTTTAAAAGAAGCATATTTACATGGTGGAATGGAAGATCAGAGGAGGAATGCATTTTTAAAAGATTGGACAGATGTTTTGGCAATAATGAATTGCAACAGACATTTCCTGGATTGGAGATAACTCACCTATCCAAAATTACGTCTGATCATTGCCCAATGCTGCTGAAATGTGATATAGAAACTACGCCAATTAAGAAGTCATTAAGATTTCTTAACTTCTGGACGAAGCATGAAACCTTCAAAGATGTAGTAAAGGAGAATTAGAATGCTTTTAGTGCTAACCATTTCTGCATTTTTAACTACAAGTTAAAGAAGCTTAAACAAGAACTATCTACCTGGAGCAGAGCTACATATGGGGATATATTTCAGTAGATTGCAAGCCATGAGGAGGTGGTCATGGTTCATGAAAGACAATTTGAAGTCAATCCTACACTGATGAATAAACAAAGATTACAACATGTCCAAGCTGAAATGATTAAATATCTTGCATTAGAAGAAGAATTCTGGAGACAAAAACTGGCATGTTATGGTTCAAAGATGGCGATAGAAACACTAAATTCTTCCATGCCCAAGTTAATGGGAGAAGGAAGAGACTGAAATTATCAAGGATCCAGAATAGCCTTGGTAACTGGATTGAAGAAGATCACATAATAGCAGAAGAAGCAATAAAGTTCTACAAGGATCAATTAACAGAGAGTGCAGTTCCAAATGATTTTTATATTCTAAATCATGTACCTTTAATGGTAGATAGTGATCAACATGAAAGATTGATGGCTTTGCCTTCCAATGAAGATGAAGAGCACAGTTATGGGGTTGAATGGGGACTCAAATGGTGGACCGGATGGATTCACTGGAGCCTTTTACCAAACATGCTGGGAAATTATTGAAGAAGATGTAGTAAGCATGGTCAAGGCTTTCTTTTGCGGTCAGCAGTTGCCAAAGAGTGTGACACATACAAACCTGGTTTTATTACCAAAGAAAAAAGAAGTTATGACCTTTGCAGACATGAGACCAATCAGTTTTAGCAACTTTGCTAACAAGATTTTCTCTAGGGTTATTCATGAGAGGTTGGTTGAATTATTAACAAACATAATCTCAGAGGAACAGGAAGGTTTCAGGTCCCTACATGATGTATCCAAGGCACTATTCTGCAAATTATGGTGGAATTTCAGGACTAAGCCCAGTTTGTGGAGTTCTTTTTTGAGTCAAAAGTACTGCAAGAAACTGAATGCAGTAATTGTACCTTGGAAGCATGGATCCCACGTGTGGAGAAAAATGCTAGAATGTAGGGACTTGATTGAGCATCAAATCTACTGGAAACTGAGAATGGGATCAGCTGTATTTTGGTACGACAATTGGACTGAGATGGGAGCCTTATATTTTCAAGTACCTGCAGTAGGGGTGGGCATATATCAGTTCGAACCAAAAAAACCAACCGAACCAAATTTTTTTTAATTTCGGTTTCTGTTATTCGGTTTTTTCGGTCGGTTTCACATTAAAATTTTTAAAATTCAGTTTTTCAGTTCGGTCGTCGGTTATTGATTTATTTTTTTCGGTTAACCGAAAAACCGAATTATTAGTACATGGATTCTTTAAAATATATATTCCATACTTATATAGGTTAAGGCCCAATTTTAAGTTCCATAAAAATCAGCCCATCCCAAACCCAATTGCCCAAAATTCAAATACGCTAGGGTCCTTCTTACTGTCTCAGTTCACTCATCAACTCCTTTTCTTTTCCCATTCTTAGGCTAGGGCTTTTCTTTCTCCCTTCTCTTCTCAGTTCTCTCTATCGGCACTTCGGCAGTTCCTCCCCCCAATTCCCCAAATAAGCTACGGCTTCCATTGATACACTGGTGGTTTTCCCAAATATGCTAGGGATCTGTCATTGTCGTCAAATTTCTTGTGGCGGTAAGCTTAATTTTTGTTATATTTCGCTCATTTCTTATTTTTTTGTGTTCTCTACTCCTCGGCCCTCGCCGATCTTCTCTTCTTTCTCTCGTTTCAGTTTATTTTTTTTTCTGCTAAAAGTTAGTATTTAAAGACTTAAAGATGCATGCAACATATATATTGTTGAAATAAGTCTTGACTCTTGAATGTGATGTCCATTTTCTTGTAATATTTGTTGGTTTCAGTGTTGTTGAGAGGTTCTAACTTGTTATTAAAACAAGAAAAGCTCACTGCTCAGTATTTTATTGTTATGCTTGTATTCTTTTTTGTAGATGGAAGAAAATGGAAGTAGGGTAAGCGAAACCTGCGAAGGTGGGGGTTCAAATGATAGCATACCTAATACTGAAGGTCTCAGTCCAGACAGTCCTGATGAAGCTCCAAAGAAAAGGAAAGTGATGCAACCTAGATCTAATGCTTGGAAACATTTTGAGAATTATGATGATCCTAGTGGAGCTAAAAGAGCAAAATGTAACTACTGTCAAAAAACTTATGCTGCTGCTACGAAAGGTAATAGTACTACATCAATGAACAATCATCTCACCAAGTGTCCCAAAATGCCCCATAGCGTGGAAAATAGTCAAACACAAATTAGTTTTCTACTAGCTTCAAATGGGGCAAATGAAGGGGTGCTTACCACTTGGAAATTTGATCAAGCACTTAGTAGGAGATCTTTAGCTCAAATGATAATTTTGGATGAACTGCCATTTAGTTTTGTTGAAAAGGAAGGATTTAAGAAGTTTATGGGAGTCACAATGCCTCAATTTCAAATTCCTTCTCATAGAACATTGACAAGAGATTGTTATGAACTTTATTGTAAACATAGACATCGTTTGAAGAAGTCCTTCAATGAAGCACGTCCTAAAATCTGTCTTACAACAGATACTTGAACTTCTATACAAAGAATAAACTATATGTGTCTTACTGCTCACTTTATTGATAGAGATTGGAAATTGCATAAAAGGATAATAAACTTTTGCCCTATCTCTAGTCATAAGGGTGATGATATGGCACCGATAATTACTAATTGCTTGCTTGATTGGGGGTTGAAAAATGTATTTACTATAACTGTAGATAATGTTAGTTCCAATGATATCACAGTAAGAGAAGTGTCTAAACAATTGAGTACTTGGGGAACTAATATAATGAATGGTAAAAACTTGCATGTTAGATGTATGGCTCACATACTAATCTCATTGTACAAGATTGGTTGAAAGAAATTGGTGCTTCTATAAAGAGAGTTAGACAAGTTGTGAGATACATTAGACAATCTCCCGCTAGGATTAGAAAGTTTAAAGAATGTTGTGAATCTCAAAAGTTAACTTCCAAGAGATCACTATGCTTAGATGTTTCAACTCGATGGAACTCTACATACATGATGCTAGACACAACACAACAATTTGAGCTTGCCTTTGACAAATATAGTTTCTTTGATATTGGATTGTTGTATCATCTTCGTACCTATGTATGTGAAGATGGAACTAGTGCAGGTGATCTCACAAGTGCTGACTGGAATAATGTGAGAACAATGGTAAAATTTCTTGAAGCTTTTTATTTGCTTACTTTGAGGGTCTCTACTTCTATTTATGTCACTTCCAATGTGCATTTTGTTGAAATTTGTGAGCTTGATCTTATTTTAAAAGAGTGGATGGAACATGAAGATACTAGTTTGAAAGAAATGGCAAAAAATGAAAGAAAAATTTGCCAAGTATTGGGGTGAACCTGAAAAAATGAACAAGATGATCTTTATTGCATCAATTTTGGATCCCCGTAACAAGCTTGAATATGTTCCTTTTGCAATTGTGAGGATGTTTGGAGAAAAAGTAGGGAAAAAATTGATTTTAGAGGTGAAAAATTATATGGATTCTTTGTTTGATTGTTATGTTAAAAAAAATTCAATAGGAACATCATCTGCTTCATCTGGAAACACAACAGCTATTGTCAGTGGTTATGGTAGCTTTTTGAAAAGAGGAACAATGAGAACAAAATTGGAATTTGAGAAACATAAGGAAGTGACCGGAGGTTTAGGTACTAAATCAGAGTTAGAAAGATATCTTGCTGAAGATCTTGAGCCTGAAACAGATGACTTTAAAATCTTAAAGTGGTGGAAAATCAATGAGCCTAGATTTCCCATTCTTGCGGAGATGGCTCGTGATGTATTAGCCATTCTTATTTCAAGTGTTGCATCTGAATGTGCATTCAGCACGGGAGGTCGCATTTTTGACTCGTTCAGGAGTTCGTTGACGCCTAAACTGGTTCAATCTCTTATTTGTCTTCAAGATTGGCTTAGAAGTGAACCTATTCCTATTAAAGTTGAGGAAGACTTGGAGTATCTGGAACAACTAGAACTTGGTAATTATTTTGTGTTTTGCCTTTACTATATTACTAATAGTTTACTTAACACTGATGCATGACAAAGTTTTCTTCAATATTTTCTTTAGATCTGGCTAATAGTGCAAAAGATTCAACTATTATTGACATATAGTTGCAACATGTACCATGTGTGGTAAGTTGATAGCCTTTTGTATATTTGAAGATACATTGATATACTTTATTATAAATCAATTGTTTTTAGACCTATAATTATGTCTTTTGTTGCAAAGGTTTGATCATGGCGCCTAAATGGAAGTGATGCTGCAGTAAATAGACTTCACTTGTTTCATGCTACTTAATGTAATTATTTCTCTGGTTTTGAGACTTCAGCAGCATGAAAACTTTCTAACTTTTAGATTACTCTTTTGGTTATGTAATATGCTTGTACTAAACAGTGGCAGCAAAGTAGCATAGATTCTAAGTTTTTTGTTCTCTCATGGCTGTAAGCAGTGGCAGCAAAGCAACATAGCTCTTTTGGTTTTTTGGTTGTGTAATGTAGTGTTCTTTTGGTTGTAACTACTAACTACTCCCTACTCCCTAGTTTATATTTGTTTTGTATGATTGTGGGATCTTGTATGGACCAAGTAGAGGTGTAATTAGCAGCATCCTTTAGTTATGTACTTATGGTTATGTACTTATGTTTGTTAGCAGCATCAATTATAAGGTCTCTTTTTATTAGGATGATTTGAGTAACATGGAACTCATACCAGATTTTTGTTACCAGATTTGAGTAACAGGGAACTCATACCAGATTGAGAAATCAATGTTTAAATTGATGTAATAAATTGCTCCTTTTTCAGTCATCTCATTCCCACTTCAAAAAATTCAGGCTTAGACTGAACTTTATAAAATTGGGCCTAGTGTAGTAGTGTTTGTTATATATGGGCTTACCCTACATATAGTTTATGATTATGTAAATAAAAGAACAGATTTATGACTTAACACATTCAAAAAGTCAAAAATTTTGGAAACAACCAACAAATTAGTCCAATTATTAAGCAGAATAAGCCCAGCCCAATATGATAATGTTCAAACCGACCCAAAATAAACCGAACTGAACTAAACTTATTTCAGTTCGATTTCGGTTATCATATTTACAAAAGCGAAAACCAAATAACCGAACCGAATTTACACAAACTGAACCGAACCGACCGAACGCCCACCCCTAACCTGCAGAGTTTGGTATCGATGAGGATATTTATAATGTCAATGATCTAGTTGAAAATGGTATGTGGAATGTGGATAAAATGTTTGAGAGCCTACCAGAAGATTTGGCACACCACATTGTGCAGAATATTAGACCACCAACTGAAAGTTCACAGTTAGATACTCCTTTCTGGATGCTTGAAACAAGGGGACATTTTACAGTAAAGTCTGCATGGGATTACCTGCGAAGAAGAGCCAACCCAAGATTAGCTTACAAGATGATATGGGTAAAAGGTTTACCTTTCAAGATATCCTTCTTCCTGTGGAAGGTGTGGAAAGCCAAACTGCCACTTGATGATTTCTTGCATAAACTAGGATACTCCATGCCATCTAAATGTTGGTGTTTTGCTGATCCTAAGGAAGAGTCATTACTACATTTGTTCTTCACATCCAATGCAGCTAGAAGTGTCTGGACTTACTTCCTGAGGAGAGCAGGAATTGCATTAGATGGGTTGTCATTACATCAAGCAATTATAAAGTGTTGGACAGCACCAGTTGTACCTAGATTGAATCCAGTGTTACAAGCTCTACCTACATGCATTGTATGGGAACTTTGGAAGAGAAGAAACAGTTTGAAATATGGAGAAGCAGTGTCAGTGAGTAGAGTTATTTACTAGGTGTCATCTACTATGCAAGCTCTGGTCCAACTGAAAAAGCCTAGACTATATGTGCCTCACAAGTGGCTGGACTTACTGACAATGATGGAGCAATACACACCTCAACTGAAATATGATAAAGTGTTATGGGAATTTCCTTCAAGAGGATGGATCAAAGTGAATACGGATGGAGCATGTAGAGGGAACCCAGGGAGGAGTTCAATTGGTTTCTACATAAGGGAAGAGGTAGGTGATTTGATATATGCAGAAGGAAGGGAGATTTCTGAAGGAACCAACAATGAATCAGAAGCGGTAGCTATTGTGGAGGCATTGAAGATGTGCAAAATCTTAATTATTTCTAGATATGGCTGCACATAGATTCTATGCTATTAAAGAACATTATAGAGGAATCATGGAAGCCTCCTTGGTATATTACTGAACATGTAGAGGAGATTTTAAGATTGAAGGAACAAAGTATCATGGAATTGCACGCTGGAAATGTATCGCATGCTGGACAATGAATTGTTTCTCTCAATGCTGGAGATGCACGCATGGCATACGCATGAGGTGATCGTGACTTTGAAGAAAGGCGTCCATCAAGAAGGCATGCGCATGGGGTTTGACAACAAACAGCTGGGAAATATTTTATTGGGAATGCTTTGGACATTTAAGCATGCACTTGATTTGCACAATTCGAGAAAATGTGGATTACAGCATGTGCGAGCACAGGGATGCAATTTAAGGTAGGTTGCATGCCTGACTGCAATTGTTTTAAATGGACGCATGATTTCGAGAAGCAGGATCTCGAGAAATTTCCAGCTCTGTGTTTGACAATAGCTGTAATTAAATAATGGCTAGCTTAAACAATGGCCAGTGCTCACATTTTCGGTGCAGCAATAGGAAGGGGATCGAAGGAAAATATTATACGCGTGGGATGGGTTGATGCATTAAACTTGATGCAGATTATGGCTACATTTACAGTCAGCATGGTACACATTTGAATTGGGCTTCACTGGACTAGAAATAAAAGGAAGCAAAGGACATCTTCGGCCTAGATTTGTAGTTTAAATTTTGAGTGCAGTGCTCAATTTTGATAATAGTCTACTTGTTAAGTTCAAATTTTATTCCTTTCATTTTGTAGGAGATCATGACATTTTATTTTGTTTTTTTAATTTTGTTATATATAAAAAAACTAGCCCTAGGCGCTTGCCTAGTGGATTGCCAAAAAAAAAAGATACTCAAATTTTAGAGTATATGTATTGTTAAGTACCTCTGACCCTTGACTATGCTTGTGTTACACCCCACATTTTCATACGTGAAAGTACGGCATAAGAAAATTGATGAAAGTTCGGTAATGTGATATTACATTCTATATTTTTGTACGTTAAAGTTTCGTCTCAAGTTAATCGATGTATGTTTGGGAATGGGATTTATTTTGGGATTATAAGCGTCATGCTATTTCAAACAAGTGATAAGTAAATTCATGAAGGTGAGAGGGTAAGTGAGTCGAAGAAAATGAGTTTCATCGAAGTTTGCCAATTTGGGATAAAATACGGTCCGAGCTATAATACCCGATATTTATGGACTAGTACCATGCAAGGTAACATATGACCATGATAGTGAGGTGTATAAGGTATTTCAAAAGTAGTAGTATTTTAAGTAATTTGAGATAATTCCTAATTATGGGTATAATTGATTAATGGTAGGGATAATTGTGGAATTAAAAAGGATTATGTGGATAAGGACAATTTTTTGGGGTTTCCACATGGCATTAAGCCAAGCCAAAGTGGCAAAATATCCATGATGAGTCAAAAAGATGTCACGACCCAAACTGGAGGGCCATGACTAGCACCCGACCATACTTGCCGATCACCAACGTACATTTTATCTAACCTTTTTTTTATTATCTTTTAGGGTTGACGAGATCAATATAAATGGTAGACCTAGATCATGGACAACCAGCAATAAAATATGATGGCATGAACATACATAGCAGGGGATGACCAGACAATCAAGAAACTACATATAAGGTACGAGCTACCACGCTACCATCAAAGACTATACAACTAAAACCAGCCGACAAGGCATACCAAACTATACATGAGTCGACACTTGTCTATGAGCCTCTATAGGAACATAAGTACTGCAACATAGCCGGAACAGTCCCCCGACATACCCATAATGTCTATAACAAAAATGCATACTAAGACCACGACAAGTCCGGAGGAGGGATCTCGCCAATCACTACTGAACTAGACAACCTACTGTGTTGGGGGAGCTGCACCTGCCTGTCTATTAGGGCCTGCAGCACGACATACAATGCCCACAAACAAAAGGACGCCAGTACGAATAAAGTACTGAGTATGTAAGGCAGGGAACCATAAATATCAACAGTAATGTAAGTAGGGATAGAGAATATACAACCTGGAACATCTGAGTACCTCTGAGGGCTACTGACATGAAATGCATGATACATATGTATGTATACATAAACGTTTAAAACATACGCCTCTGTGGGCATCATCATCATCATATCGTACCCAGCCATAATAGGCTTGGTAAAAACGTACCCGGCCGTCATAAGGCTCGGTAGAATCGTACCCGGCCACGTGGAGCTCGGTAAAACCCAACTGATCAGTGGTTGCACAATATGTGCCGTACCCGGCCGACTATAGCGCGGCTCGGTAGAGTAAAATAGATACATATATATAATACATGCTCGACTCATGGAATCACATTCTAAGCCTTTCGGAGTGACATAAGGTCGGTATCCTCTTTACACGTTATTAGGACCAATTCTTCATTATGAACCTTATAAGAATGAGGAAGTACCAACAACATTGATAACATAAGA